TCAGGTGCCGAACACACCGGAACGTTCGAAGAGTGACGACAATGACATCATCAACTATCTACTTGGGTTCGAAATGGACACTGTTGGCGCACGTGTATACATCCCCAGCGAGAACACGGTTAAGTTTGTCGCTGAGGTTCGCGTTATTGAGGACGTGATGTACAACGACCGTCATCACGTCGATCCAACTAACCGAGATGATGGTGAGTGGTTATGGTTTGTGACCGAAGAAGTTGGAGTGCAAGACGACACGACCAGCATCTCGAGTGACGACGGCTTGGACATGGAAAGCATCCATGAATCTAGCCAGAGCGTCGTGCTTGACAACTCGGGGGATGCAGAGTCTGTTGTCAGTGCTACAGTTGCGTACGAAGCCTTGATGAGGATCGTCGGCAGACGTCGATGAGGGGACGAGGACGGAGATCACGACAACCAGGACGACGGAGAGAATTGCCAGGATATGAGTGACCAGGCGAATGATGGTCATGATGATGACGAGTCTGTCTCGGCTAATTTTGGATCGGAGGTGGACCCAGCAGACGAAGGTTTGGTCGCCGATGCGACCGAGGTGGGCGAGGACGTAAGCGATTCGACCGACGAGCAGGGATCGACTCACGAGCAGGGCCCGGAGGCCAAAGAAATACGGAAAACGGCTGGAGCAAGGACTCACCCGGCGGTGACAATGCCGGTGCTGTGTCGGGAACGACCGCCACGAAACGATCCGTGCTTGAGAAGATCGTACTACCAGAAGGCCTGCAAAAGCGAGTGGATCGGGACGACATTCCGTCAGAAGCTGAGAAGAACCAGCTTGGGGGACGAATGAAGGAACGTCGCACAGGCTTACGTCAGTGGACGCGCCGACCAGCTCGATTCGATGATTTTGTCAGATGGGCAAATGTTGAGACGAAGATATTGGGTCGTGATGGCAGACCGATTGGTGCAAAGATCATCAGAGTTCCAAAGAACTGACGCCAAGCTATGAGTTCTAAGTATGCGGATCTCTGGCGAATGGCTGAGCTGGAGAAAATGGCCGCGTTCAAAAACAAGGAGGTCTTGGGACAAGTCAAGAGGACCGAGATGCC